TTGGCCGCTTTGAATGTTCCACCAAATACGCTTAATGACAGATGTGTTTTACCACTCTGAAGAAGCAGTTGGTCAGTAATAAAAATCATAAAGTGAAAATTTCACAACTGTTGCTCGGAATGCGAGCTGTATTTCTTTGCTCTACGATTCTTCATTAGTTACTAGTGTCTCTGTTTATGACAGCCGAAGCATGATTTCCAGCCTCCAGAGCACGAGAGCTCCAAGTGATTCCATCCCAGCAGACGTACTGACTGAAGCGGTGGATGAGGTTAATCTGAAACATACTTGTGACAATGTGGGGTTGTGTTATCCTACTTTTCTTAACACTCCCCCTGATTTATGGACCCCATATTGCTGCTGTTCACTATGTTTCCTTCCTGAATTTAAGGATCAGTGGAGAGTGATGTCAGCTGCTTTCCTGAGCGTGCACAGAAAATGAAATAGCTCTCTGCCCTAACGTGCACCAGGTGGACTCTCATGCAATTACTCTTATTATAAGAAAAACGCTGCTTTACTGGAAGTGTTGGGCTATGCCACTCTGATAAACAATAAAACTGCATCTGTAAGACTGACCACATTTTTTTTGTTTGTTTGTTTGCTGTCAGCAGCCTTGTCTTATTACAGACATATTTTTAAGGTGACTTAGTCAGGTATGTCACGATCAGCAGCCAGTTTTTCCTCTCACTGCTCATCCACCTCTGCACCCCAGCCAAATGAAGCCAGCTATGCACCATAAATGTCTCACTGTGAGGGCCAATTTCTATGTAATTATGCAATATTTTTAAAAGGACTGCAGGGACACCACTTGGGAGGGGGGGGGGTGACGTTAGCTGTTGACTTCAGAGTGGCCTGTGGGAAAAATCATTCGACTTAGTGTTTCATTAAAGACTTTTTTTCAGCGGAAGCCATCTGGATTTCTTAGAGCCAGCACCTTGCTAACTACAGAAATGCTCTTTTGTTAATTACACAAATACATAATTACTTAAGTAATTGAGTTCAAACTTTCGAACTGCTTTTCCCGTTGTGTAATTACAGTAGTGTTGTGTGAATGGACAGAATTTGTAAAAATTACAGAGGACAATGCAGGGCATCCCCATGAATACGCTCACTTTGATGTTTTTTTCTTTCCTGCCTATTTTAGCACAACCAATCAACAAACAATAGGAAATTTTGGCACAAGTTGTGGCATGTTCATCTACATGAATGTTAGCGTGACCATTTGTTGGATTGTGTTAGTGGGAACAAGTGAACTCTCCACTCTTTGGTACCATCCTCATGCTCCCGTGTCTTTGGCACTCTTTGAGGACAGCTGCTGGCACAATAAACTCTGAGTGACCCAGCGTTGTGTGTCATTCCTCAACAGTAGATACAACAGGCCAAGCTGGGCTTAACTTGGACAGCAAAGGAAGTTCACAAATTAAAATATACTGACCACATTGCACTACTTTTTTTTTTTAAATTAAATTCTTTAACGTCTTTGTCGTGATTAGCTCTTTTCCCTCCCTCGTAACGTTTCTGCATAGGCACACA